AGAGAGAGAGAGAGAGGAATCTTGTTTTGCAAAATTTTTGATTACTTTTTCCTTGAAAGAATGCTTGTCGCATTATAGATAAATGTTTTCAAAAATTGGCTTTTGTCAGCAATATCTCTCTTCCTTTTAATTCTGCAACTATAATATGTTCTCTTAATAACTTAAACAAATATCAAAATACTGCGGTGAGTCTGTCACTGGAATGGGACACGAGGGCGAGGGGGAAGGACTTATGAAAGCAGCTGGAAAAAGACACACCGAGAGGGCTTCAGCTGAGAGAGCTTTTTCATCCTGTCTCCAGCCTCTCGTTGCTTTTTTCTTTCCGTACCGAGAGAACCATGCGACAAAGGCTACTGGCGTTAATACCGCGCCATTGCGAATCACCATTGTTTAGCAACCCTTTGTGTTTGGAATTATTTATATGAAATTTGTAAAGCGAATGAGAGCGCGAGTTCTGTATCGTTTCGTTCTGAAACGGAATTGTAAAACTCTCACGCTTTAATTGACTTCCTATCGAATTTACATTTTCCGATCCGACATTTCTTGTTACTTCATATCGTATTTTATATTTGCGCGTTATTATTTTACATCGTTGCGCGATTATCATCATCTGCAAAATTTCTCATTCAATTTTATTTGATTCTTACGCAAAGCTCCTATAATAAATCTTCTTAGCGATGTCAATGTTATAATCGTTGCGCTTACCCCGCTCCAGCCGTAGGGGAGGAAACCACTGTGCTGAGACCAATTGTCGGAATCCACATAAAACATGCCCGCCGCCATGACGAAGACCCAGACAGCGAGATTGATGGCGTTCAGCACGTTGTTGAACACCAGTGACTTCTTCACGCCCGCCGCCATCAGCAGCATCATGAGTATCGTGATGACGAACGCGACAAAATCTGGCGGCCGTCCTGGAACAGACGTGATTCAAAAACCTTAGCAAAATTCCTTGCAAATGGAATCATTATAATATGCGTAATAGATAAAGAGACACGCACCTCTGTTTTTTCAAGAAAAAGAACTATCGTAGTTATCACGCTGAAAAGTATTCTGTGATAATATTGCAAGATTTGGAATTCATTATTCAGGTATTTTATTAAATTTTCTACATTCATAATAAAAGTTGAATTTACTTTTATAAAATCGATGACTTCCATATTACTTATATTTGAATTCAATTTTCTATATAAAAACATTTTTATCTGATTTCGTAGACAACTAACAAGGCACAATTTCTAATAACATTCCAAAATTCTTCTGTCAATTTAATGTACAGCGAAACGGTTATACATCTGAGAGATTTCCCAAGCTTCACCGCGTTTCAAAGACTCGTATGTTTCTTTAAGAAAGAATTTCTTTGTTCAATCGGTTTTGTTTTATATAGATGTGTTAATTAATTATTAGCAAAAAAGACTTTTGGTATTATAATAATGGGCAATAATAGAGCAATAAATAAGAATCAGTGTTGTAGACGGTGCGCAAATTATATTTTCAATTTTAATTCAGTTTATTAATAAAAAAGTTCCAATTAATTTTTATTATTTTAATTAATTATTGTTATTACTTATTTATTGTTTTTTTTTCGACAATTTAACAATTTGTAACATTTTAAATTCTTTTGTTACTGATGTATTTGACATATTTTTAATTTATCGTGTTTTGTTTATAACATTGAAGATGACCTGAGAATGAAATGTTTTTTTTTAATATACTACGTGTTTCGGAATTGTTTGAAATATATATTTAGCACGAATATCTAATTTGATTCATATGCTCTTTTTATCGTTTTTAATATTCTTAGCCTTACTTACGTGATAAATAAAAAAATATTTAAAAAAAATATAACATTCTCTTAGACACATTAATTGATTAGGTCGAAAATATTAGTGTGCCTAAATAAAATGTCCTTTTCACTTTTTTTATTATCAACGAAGTTTAATTGTCAATTTACCCCGACTTTTTTACTAAAATTGTAACTGAAAAATATCGACGATGTGAACATAACACTTGCATATATTTCACGTTGATAATATGATATTGATCGTGTCAATCTAGTTCACATGGGGCTTTTGACATTTTGAATTATTACTCCATTCTTTAACACGATTCGCGAAGTCAAATAAGATTGGACTAAATTTTTCAATGCGAAGCAATTTTTGAAGTTGAAACTATTTAATGCACCGCCAGATAATCATATTGCGATCATGTTCGAGCGTCAAAAACTCTTGTACTTGCTAACAATGGATCGTCGGGAAAAAGTATCTAGATGCGCCGAATTCTTATTCGTCAAATTATTCGGATTTTCTCCCTTGTGCTTCGATTCGCTCGAACACGATGTTTCCATGATGGCCAGACGTGAAAGAAACCCGACGCGGAAATTCTTCGACAAGCGGAGAGGAATGTAATTCATGTGGTTGGAGATAATCGCGCGATTCTCGGGGCGAGGGAAAAAGCAGCGGTTTTTTCGAGAAACACGGAGGAAAGTTCGCTAGTTTCAGTCAAGCGCCCAATAGAGGGAACTCGATTCTGTGGAAAAATCGGACGCAGTGGGAAAGGAAAGCCCCCCGGTAGAAATTTATTCTGCGAAACGATGAATTCTCAGAAGCGGAGTATACAATAAACTCCCGCTTGGTTTCTCTACGTTATTTTTTTTCTCTTCCTTTTTTTTTCATATGAAGGAAAGCGGTCATCTGGTGTTGACTGGTATTATCGTGCTACCGGGTGCCACGGGAAAGACTCGCGACTCGCGACCAGAAGACGCTGACTTCGTCTCGCAATGAATAAAGATTGCCGTATTATTTAAAATAGAAGAAAACAATTTGCTCGAGCCGCTTCTCTGAGAGGGCCTCGAGAGATTGCTGATTAATTTGTCCCGACGCTGAGCGGCTTCCAAAGGCTTTCTTTCCTTCGCAAGGCAAAATAATCCGCGTTATTGCAACGAAGCCGCCATTTCTGTCGCGCAGCGCAAAGAATCGAATCGCGTTCGTGTGACCTGAATTCCGTCCTGTTGCTTCACGTTGATTCATTTTCTTTACCGTTCCATTACGTAGGCGCTACGCGCGCAAACGAAAGAGGCAATTTTGCACACGAATCAAACGGTTTTGATCATTCAAGCAATCAGCCCGATCTCTACGGACGTCGGCGAGCGTGCACGTTTCTATGCAAATACAATCGTCGAACGATGTGCAAAATGTATTACCGGTTGAAAGACCGCGATCAAATACGTGAACAGGTACGGATAAACTCAAATACAGATGTTAATGACAAACAGACGGAGAATTTCGCAGCGTAAATATGAAATAATCAAGGCTCGAAACGCATTATTTCCTAAAGTATTACGGTGTGATGTATATTCAAAAAAAAGTTTGATCTGAATTTGTTTATTATATTAATTAGTTCCACTTGACCGTTTGAAAGATTTGACAGCCGTTTTTCCACATTGTTGATTGATTTTGCTCACCTCGTGAGGATAGTTATCAGCATGAAAATTATATATTTTGATAGCTTGTATATTTTTTATATGTGTAGTTGTAGCTATCATCTTAAGATAAGAGGATTGTGTTAAAGTTGCGCGAAAATATTTTATTTCATACTTTCTCCGGAATGATTAATTAAATATTGAAGATATATAATTATGTAAGTAACTTTGATTATAACGTGACTTTCTCATGTCACACGGCAGTTGCCGATATAGACATGTACATAACTGTGATACAAATTAATAGAATTTATTTGCCTTTTAAATTTATTTATATTTATTTTATTTTATATATTTGAAAAAAATGCCAAAAAATAATTAGCTCCCGCATAGTGGGCATTTATATCTGAAAAACGACAACATGTTCGAAACGACAATATTCCAATATTATTACCGAATGGGTCTCTGAACATTTAGAAATAAAAGCTCACGAATAACCAACTTTGCTTATTATTTAAAAACTATTGCGCTTTTGCCATTCGTTCAAGTGTAAGTATATTACCCTTGACTTTTTATTGCCTCTTGCTATGCAAACAAGGATACTCTGCTGATAAAAAGATCGAAATGTATTGAAATGTAAGCGAAAAGAGCTTTATAAATCAAATGTCGAGGATCTAAAGGAAACTTAGATATATCGATATCAAGAGGGATCTTTACGAGGAAACTTCACTACAAAACTTGAGGGAGTTAGGGAAAGGTTGGATAACTCGGATCATCTCCGAGACGGGTGTCGCACTCTCCGTCGCGATTCAACGCAATTGCAATCCTGACGATGAAACTTGTGTCGAGAAGACGCGTCCGTCGCGAGTAGTACTTAATTCCACGGATCAGCCGTGACCTCGTAACGAGAAAACTTTCTCGGGATGGCAATCTATCGTAACGCGAAGATAACGCGTAACGTGAAGGTAACGTGAAGATAACGCGAAGATAAGAACGTGAGATTCGCGCCAGGGAGTGTCAATTACGAACGCAAATGGCAATATATAGGCGGGATTGCGAGTTTCGGGATTTATCTCCGCGAAATGGAGTGCATGATATCCTGCAGCTCGATATCGAGCGGCTTCAGAGAGCGGCGTTGCAGACACAAGAGTCGATAACGGCGCAGATAAGACGCGGATGCGACGCGTCGTGCTGTCAGATCCGACGACGAGACTTGCTTCCCCGCGTCGAAGTATTTCTTTTTTTCTTTTCCTACGTGTCTGTTTCTTTCGGATCTGTTGGATCTTCTTCTCTTCGCAATATCGAAAAGTGTAGCAACCAAGCGAGCGCGATCTCTCGCGACACGCTCGTCGAAACGCTTCCTCTAAATTGTCAGGCAAACGTCGATGTACCCCGGTAACGGTGACACTTTCCGCATAAGCACAAGCATTATTGGATAAGTTCAATGATACCGTTATCCACAACGACGCCGTCGGGCATAAGCCGCGCTGAAACTAGAGTTCTAATTAAGTATTCCCCCTAACTGCAAGTTAACGATCGCGGGAACAGCGTCGGGAATAATTTTACGAGGCAGTGTCGCGTTTAAACATGTTAGCCATGCTGTACCGTCCTCCGCGTTATTCATGGCTTCTGTTCTCGCAGACTCTATTCTTAAAAAGTTACAATATATCGATGAAATGAAGAAAGAAGACGATAAATAAGACGAGATCAATTATGATCAAGACATATATCAATTATAAATCTTCCACTTCTCTTTCCAGAAAAATCCATTACCATATTACTTCCATAGAAACACTGACTCTTCGCTTAAAATTAGTAAATACTAAATCCATTAATCCACCCTCGCGTTAATCAATGTAAAGGGAAAATTCCTCGCGTATGTACCGAGAAGTTTGTAAGAAAAGAAAACGAAACTCTATGTTGATAACAAGACGGATATTGGGATGATCAAGGAACGATCTCAAGGGTCAGACTTTTGTTTCGAAAGATGACAATCGTGCCAGGAGACGGACTGAGAGAACACGAAAACGACACAGGGGAAAGAATAAAAAGGGTTGACTGCGGCGTCCAGGTGGACAGGTTAAAGAGAGCGTCGAAGCGTGCGGTTCGCGAATCGGTTCGGATCGATGAGGTCCACAGGTGCCAGACCTAGTCTCATCCGCGCAAGCGCCCCTCTTGCACCCCCTCAAGCCTTTTGTCCTCCCTCCTCTGCACGCCGCCCGCCTTTCCAACCCCTCAGACTCTCCTCCACCACAACTCCATCGTTTTAGCCCTCTCCCGTGTCTCCCGTCCTCCTAACATTTCTCCAGATCCCGTCCTCTATTACCGAACCTCTCCTATCCCTCTCTACTGTGCAATGTGCATACCGTCCGCAAAACGTTGAGGCACTCGTCTGATTCACGCACGGAACGTGTGAACGAACGAATTACACGTGCCAAGTAAATATCTACAACCACCAGACATACAGGTTGGTTGCCAGCGGATTAGAATTAC